GCTGGTTACTATTTTACGTTTTAACTGCATTATTAGCTTCAAAAAATCTTCTTGTAGTTGATATTAACAAACCAACAGTTGTTTCAGCTACTGCTTCAGTCAAAACATCTGGTGTGTATCCTAAACGTAAACCGTATTTTTTCATTGCTGCTAAGTCAATATGGTCATATCCCACTGACATTGTTGCAACAACTTTTAGACTAGGGCCTATACAAATACAAATTCAAGTTGCTATTAACAATATTTAAAATAATATTAATTACTTTGCAATTTTACCCGCAGCTTTTATGACTTCCTCATCAATTTTTATTGGTGGACAACAAAATATTGCAAATTTATCTGATACTTTTGATCGCAGTTCTTCATTAGTAGTTGTTGTAAAGTTACTTATCTCAACATCAAATCTAAATACATATATTTATAATAATTGTTAAATGTTTTTTTTTTTGGTACAAAAAATAATATTTTAGTTACCGTTCTTTAAGTAAATCAATTGCAGTTGCTGGAATAGATCTAAGAGCAACAAATACTTTGGGTTTTGACATTGCTAATGTGTATCGTACCTACTGGCTACTAATAAATTAAAATGTAAACAAATAAGGCTTAAGGTTAGGCTTTTAAAGTTTTTGACAATTGATATAGGAAAGAGATACTGAACAATTAATTATTAATTGCCATGTATCACGGTCTTGATAGCTACATCCATAGGTAAATAGATAAAACATAATTAACATAACATTATGTATGGCTACACCTTATCTATTATCAAGTTGTACATTGTCCTTGGATTATTGAATTTCATTCCAAGCACATTTTTCCTAATTGTAATTCATAATGATGTATTCCACATAAGTGGAACAATTTCGCAATTTCAGAATTATATAAACATCAGTTTCCACAAAATTTCTTCGCGTTTTATTTTTGACGCACTAGTTTGCTGGTACCTATCAAATTTCGTTTGTAAAAAATGTAAATGCACCTGTCAATTTCGAGAAGAAATATACGAAGTGTTTACTAGTTGTGGTCGCCTTATAAAAATGTTACCTATTAGTTGCGGTCACTCAATAAAGTTTACCTACTAGATACTAAACATTTTCATTCCCATTTATAACAGACTTAGAACTTTCCACACTTTTATTTATTGTGTAAGTATGGTTAAAAATGTTAGTTTTATAAAATTATTAAAACTAAAATGTTATTGTATAAATGTAAAATTATATTAAAATTCAGAGGGTACAAATTTAAAGTGAATTTATTTTACGTATTCAAGTCTATTTATTTCACGATTTTTATAATAACCAGTTTGTTGTGCCAGGAAATTGTATTTCTTGGGTGGAATTAAAAATGATATTGATAATAGTTGGTTAAACTTGACGTTTTACCCAATAATTCTAATATCGTATTTTATTTTTGAAGCATATTAACAACACACTTTGGCAATGTTATGCTCTATAACTCACTAAGTTATCGAATAATTCGAACATTTAAACACGTAACCCCAATTCAGAGATACACTAGAATTGGAGTGACCGCAACTGTTATATCTGCTTATTTTAAAAATCGCCAACGACCGCAACTCGTATGCAACCGAAATATACAGTGATGTAAATAAAGTAACTATCGAATCTCTCGATAACCAAATTATACATCGAACTGTTACGGAAAATATAATAATACTAAAATTTCAATAATCTTGGTAAAGGGGTGTTATTCTAGAAGGAAAATTTAATTCCGGACATCAAAATATCCCAAAGTCGAAGGACTACTAATGTAACATTTGTATTCATGTAAATTATTTTATTTAAATCTGCGTTTGGTTAATTAACTACAAAATGTAAAAATTTACCTACCCTACAATAAGATATACATTATTTAAAATTAATTAATCAGATAATAGGGTAATCAAACAAAAACAAAGTATGAGATATAAATAAGATCGTTTATACCTACGATGAATATAAATCAGAAACTTGTAATGAGCTAAATTACTTTTTTTTATTATTAATTTTGGGAATAACTTAGAAATTGAATACATTATAAATCATGATACGGCTAATGACTATGGAACTATAAGTGACAGTATATTTTTAATCCAATTAATTGTTAGGAAATTATTTTACACCTTAATAGTTTTTAATAAAATTAACAACTATACCTACTTAATTCTTTTTATGAAAATGAATTGTCTAATTACTTACTAACGAAGTAGAGCAACATTGCACGTGGGTAAGCCATTGATGTCGATGAGAAGTTAAGAAAGTAGTAGAGGAGAAATTGAGTATATATATGTAAGCAACAATAAGCCATTGCTAACGAAAAACCGATTCTGAGCGGAGTTCAGTTGACAGTCTTGCTTTGTCAACAATATATAATATGACACATTATATATTATTATCTTAAAATAATAACATCGGCATTATGTATTTTCATTAATAGGTACCTACCTATTTTCCTGTTTTTTCCATTTATTGGGAAAACTTCTAGAAAACTAAAAAATGACCTCCTTAGACTTCTTTTTACAAAAAAGTGCTACCATTGTAAATCGAAGCAAAATTGCTGGTAGAAAAGTTATTCACAAGACCAAAAAAGGCTGTAATATTTTTATTGACTGATACCTACATTTCATACATTTGCCCGTTTTTTCAATTTGTTGGGAAAACTCCTAGGAAAATTGAAAAATGACCTCTCTAAAGTACTCTCCCAGTCAGATTTTCTTTTAGATAATAAAAAACTAAATATCAGTAAAACCGTAAGCTTCTCACTCCACTCGGAACCAATCTAAACAACGTTTAGTCATTATTTCTTAACCATTGACCATTATTTTCAATAAATCTCTATTACGCCCAACTGATATATATCCATCCAATTTTAAAAAATGTACTGTGATTCCATTATTTAAGTTAGGTAATAAACTGGTATGTCGTAATTAAAGACCAATATCCACATCTTTAACTTGATCAAAAATGTTTGAAAAATGTATATAAAGCAGATTAGGTACTTGATTTTTTAAATAAATAAATGTTTTTGTTCTAAACAAAAATTACTATAGATGCACTTTTTAATATGGACAATTTTATTGGGAAATATATTGACTACAATATAAGGTACTTAATGGGCGGTTTTTTAGATGTTTTAAAAGCTTTCAAATGTGTTGATCATAAACTCTTAATTATTAAATTAAAACACACGAGTATTCGTGGTATACCTTCATTACTAGTAAAAATCCTGGTAGAATTCAAATAGTTGAATTTGATGGTATAGTGAAATCCTAGAAGTATCTTGTGGTGTATTCAAGGAACAGTTTTTGGTTTCTCATGGTCTTATTATTCATAATCTTTATTCATTATCTAATATCTCTTAAAAATGCAGACTAATTTAAATAGTGAAATTCTAAGTTTTGCAGATAATACTGCAATTCTATTATCTGAAAAAACTATAGATACTTTGTATTATGAATTAAGAAGCAAATAAAACTAAATAATATTTATGTTTAGTTATGTAACAACAAATTTAAATTAAACTTATCAAATCTAAATACTTATATTTGTTTTCACCTACTAAAGTGTCATACTTTAATAGCCCATTCTTTAAAATGTGTTTGTTTCGAAAAAACAAATAAAACAATAAAAGAGAATTAAAATAACTTTAAATATTAAATACAATATATATTGTAATATTAATATTATAATAGAGAAAAAAATACGTAAACAAAAATTATAATTCATTAAGATCAAAAGAGAGATTCCAAGAATGCACCGCACTAGTTCACTAGTTGGTAGAAACAGGAACTGATTCCTACGAAAGACGTTATAACCATAACTGTTTTTTTATTGAATATACCTCCTATATATATATATATGTATAAAATTTATTTTTCATGACAAAATGCTACAGTCATTAAAAACACAAATTTATTTTTAGAAAAAGAGAGACTCAAAACAAGTGGAACTTATAATAGGTTTATAACTTATAAATTAACATTCTATTTATTCAATACTACCCAGTCGTATTCTTTATCTAGGTAGGTACTTCTTGTAAAAAAAAAGATTTAGAATTAAATTTTTTTTTTTAAATGTTTAAACATTTGGATCATAATACCAGAATATTTTCTCAAGTAAAATACACTTGTTGTTTAACAGAGAGCTGCTGTTCACTAAATGTTTAGCCAAGGTCTAGAGCAGCACATATAGAAATATGTCCCCTGGCCAGGGAGTCAAAAAATCAACAGTATGGTTGAAATTTATATCATGCTAAATTATGGAGCATCTGTAGCATAAGAATTGCCCTATTAATTTAGCATTTATAATATTATTCATATTTAAAAATAATATACACAAACTCGAATAAAATATTTATTTAAATATATCATTGTTATTTGAATAATAATAAACTAATACAGTACTTCTCTTGGCATAGGACAATTGTTCAAAACAGCAATTATATTTTTAGCAGACATTTCAGCCATTTGTAGATGTACTTCAAATACAGAGCTTCCAATGTGTGGTAATAACACTNAACAGCAATTATATTTTTAGCAGACATTTCAGCCATTTGTTGTTGTGCTTCAAATACAGAGCTTCCAATGTGTGGTAATAACACTATAAAATAGATGGATTATAACTTTGGCGGTAGAGATGAAAGTTTTGTGAAAACATATACATTACAGCTCTCAGTTAAACAAGAAAAAATAAAAATAAGTTACTACATTGCTGCATTGATTAAGTTTACTTAATCAATGGTTATTAGACACACCCTATATATTTAACCATCAAATACATTATTATGTTATACATACCAACATTGTCCAACTTTATTAAAGGGCTATCAAGCGGTAACGGTTCAGGTGTCATTACATCTAGGCCCGCTCCGCCAATTCTCTTTTCTTGTAATGCTTTTATAAGTTCATCTTGATCAACTAGGCCTAATAAAACAAATCTATAATGTTTAAATGTAGTCAAGTAATTAAGTATGTGAATAGTTAAAATGCAACTTACCCCCTCTACCAATGTTTATTAACACTGCAGTGGACTTCATTTTAGCAATGCGTTCTTTGTTAATAATAAATCTTGTATCTTCATTCAAAGCAATGGAGAGAATTATAAAATCACTTTGTTCAACGAGTTCATCAACAGTCACCAATTTTCCGCCAAGAGCTTTTACTGAAATAAATATTTATCTTAATAAATACAAATATTTCAGAATTGAAAAAAAAAAAAAAATTATTACTTACCAGTCGGTTTTTCACTTCTACTTGTGTACAGCAATTGAGATATTTGAAATGTACTCAATTTCTGTGCTATTGATGTTCCTATGTTACCACAACCGATAATGCCAACTACAGAATTTTTAATACCTCTACCACACATCCATAAGGGAAACCTTTCTTTCCATCCACCACTAAAATAATGTATTTATTATATTTATTTATTGTTGGTTACACAAATATTAATATGTTATGGTGGTTAGTAATTTACGTTTTAACTGCATTATTAGCTTCAAAAAATCTTCTTGTAGTTGATATTAACAAACCAACAGTTGTTTCAGCTACTGCATCATTGGAAACATTATGTAAGTACCCTACACGTACTCCATATTTTTTCATTGCTGCTAAGTCAATATGGTCATATCCCACTGACATTGTTGCAACAACTTTTAGACTAGGGCCTATACGAATACAAATTCAAGTTGTTGATTAAATCCTACAATTATAGTTACAATTTTAAAACTTCTTCCTATTATGTATTTATATAATTATTTCATATTTGTAATATTGGAGTATATTTCATTATAGTAAATGTGTTTACCAGCAGCTTTTATGAGTTCTTCATCAATTTTAAGTGAACTTATTAATATTCCAAACTTTCCAGGTACTTTGGCTAGAAGTTCTTCTCGAGTAGCTCGTTTGTAATCACTCATTTCAACATCAAATCTAATTTGTATAATATTGTCTTTAATAATTAATAATTTTAGCATTTTGAAATAACTAACCTTTCAAGCAGTAAACCGATAGCAGTTTCTGGGAACCAATTGAATGCTACAAATACTTTAGGTTTAGACATTGTATGTAACATAGAATCACTGTTTTTAAATTTATAATTGTATGAATGATGAATTAACTATATTTCAATATGTATTTATATTATATGTACCTACTTACAATTTATCATAATTGGATTATAACATTGTAAAGCACTTGCTGATAATTTAATAAGCAATAAAGTACTTACTAACTCAAAATGTAAATTAAGATTTTAATAATTAAGGTTATTTGTACTTAGAACAATTTAGATTTAAAATTAACATTCAGATATTTGAATATACTATATATGTTTAAAAAAATCATTGTTTTATCTATTTGGTGTTTATACCATAAATAATACTTGAGATCATTATATAAATGTGACAGAAGTACAATTGTTAGAAATGAAGATAACTAATTAGGATTAAATCATAACCAACTAATATTGTTTGCTTAAAGTTAAACATACAAATTATTAGCTCAATATAGATAAATTATAATTATCAACCTGAGACTAAAAATACAGAGATCGGTGTTTAGACACCTGGTTATAATTTGGCCGTGCCTATTAAAAGTTGTTGGTAGTTATTAAATTTGCTTAAATATTAAATAATTTTAAACCATTCAGATAAATGTAACAGTAATAGGGATTTTGCGAGTTTTCAACAAATTAATATACATTCAGTGTAAAAACATAGTTACAAAAATTTTTTTTTTTTTAATTTTTTGTTCGAATGTGATCATTGAAATTATAAAGCATCTATGCTTTAAAAATTCTCATAAGTACAGTTATATACTACTTTTAAAGATTGAAACTAATTTCAAGATTGATCTTGGAGACTCTACACACAAAGCAGTTCTCAATAAGTTATTACTAAAAACTGATTATTAATATTAAGAAAGGAAACTAAATAGGTTAGAAAATAGTTATTAGGTTTAAATAAAAAAAAAACTTTTTGGAAAAAGAACATATAATGTACATAATATATTTTGTAGTTGCGCAATAAATATTAAAACAATATTAGTTCTTCTTTCCTGCTAAAATGATACCGTCATACTAGAACAAACAAATTAATTTACCTTTAATATTATGTTATTCATAATGTAAAGAACAGTAATTGAGATATACTCACTTTAGTTTGGAACCATTTCATAGCATCTTCTTTGCCGAGTCTATGTTGGTAACCAACTTTACCCTGCTTCCTTCTTCTGTGGGCTACGTTGAAACCTATTCAAAGAATTTAAAATATATTGTATTATTTCTCGACACTAAACTTAGTTATAGTATAATGTCTTCAAACAATCGTTAATAGAAAAAAATGGATAGATATTTTACTCTTGAAATTCGATGAATTTTCCAGAAAGAAAATTATATTTTCTCACACAAGAGTTATAATATTTTAAAATCAACCTTTGAATTCTTAAAAATTAATACTTAACCCTTAATTTTAAATTTCATAACTATATCCATGCTAAAATGTAACTTCTAAAATATAAAGTTATTTAGTTATACAATCTAGTTATATAGATGTTATAGTTTTGACCAAAACTAGATAAATTATTGCAATTTAATCTACTTTAACACAAGCTTAAGCTTACAGAAGTAGTCGTATTTATGTATTCGTACCTTGTATAATAATAAAACCAATTAAATTGTTTATTTTAATAAATATTTAATTCTAACTATAATTACAAATATTTTCCTTGACTAGGAATAGAATTTAAAAATGTAAAGAATATTTTTTAAATAGAAAAAAAATTATGAACTTCATTACTTCAATAAAAAGATGAGAATGCTTAGGTGGATAAGTGAAGTGACAACAGAAGATAGGATAAGAAACGAGTAAATAAAAGGTAAGTTAGGCATGACTTCTATAGTAGACAAAATGTAAGAAAATAGACAGAGATGTTTTGTGCATGGGAATTTGAAACAGTAATTGTAATGAAAATATACATAGGAGGAAAGAGGTTGAGAGTAAGATTGAAAAAAGTTGGATACAATTAGGAATCATATGAAGACAGCTGATGTATGCATCAAGTCAAGTTTAAACAAAGGTGGCCGACACCAAATAGTTTAGATGAAGGAAAAGAAGACATTATTTGATATTATAAACTTGGTTACAACAGACCAACAAATATATTTTAAAAATAACCAATTATTAAAGCATTTAAATTGTTAGAATTGTTAAAAAATACTTTAATCATAGTTAATGTGTATTATGGTGTTGATTTAAGTGTGAAATGTAGTAGTTTTTTAAGCATTTAAGTCACATTTTGACAAAAACATATTTTAAAATACGTTGAACTAAACATTGTACAAAATTGTCTTTTGTTAGCATACAAAAATAAATAAATTAGTCTTTAGTGGTACACCTACCAGCTTTTATAAAATTATTAATACAACACAGCAAGTAATATATTATTTTGAAATTTTTTAAGATTAAAAATCAAGATTTAAACCACTCATTACTATAACCATAAACACTAAAAATACACCACAATATCAATAATATAATATTCCACCTATATATTATTGATATTAGTATACCACTATTTCATTATTTTATTTTACCACCTATTTACTTTTAATCTGTAATGTAGATTGATACTCTTATTCCTTTAATATGTTTTACAAGTTACCTCTTACACTATAGACTAATATTACATAATTAAAGTTGTTACCTTGACGTCCTAAGACAACGAAGAAGTCTAAACCATAGATACCAATGCTGGGGTCGTATTTGATACCCAAATCAATGTGTTCTTGAATACCAAAACCAAAGTTACCAGTATCTGAGAAGTTTTCTCGCCTCAATTCGTATTCACGTACCTGTATTCAGTAATTAAAATATTCTGTTAGACAATATTTACTTAATAAAAACATCAGAAGAACACAAACCTTTAATCCACGTTCTAAAATTTCTTCAGCCTTAGCACCGCGAACTGTACAATGGACAGCAATTTTTTCATTTCTTCTGATACTGAAAGATCTGACAGTATACCGAGCCTTAGAGAACACAGGCTGTTGACCAGTCAACTGTTCCAATACCTAGAAATCACATGCACATATATGAATTAATTTTTTTAAAAAATAATAAGAACTTACTTTGGCAGCACGGGTAAGTTTGTCACCAGATTCACCAACACAAATGTTTAAACATAATTTGCGGATTCTCAATTCACGCATGCGATTTTTTGCTTTTTCTGAAGCTTTGGCTTTATCGCCTCCTTTCTGTAAAACAGGATGAAAATTAAGTATTATTTAACAATCACATATATGAGTAAACGAAAAATCACTTTTACAAAAGAATATAAAATATTTATACTTGGAATCATATAATGTTTTCTTAATGAGTATTACACCTCAGTAAAATGTGAGGGTATATTGCAATATAAGAATTTAGATGATGTGTCACTGATTTAAGAGACTCGGAGCATTGTGGCGACCGATTCTCAATAAAGTTAAAAACAGTGTACTGGCCCAGAGATAACGTGAGCTAATTACAATATTTGATGATCACATATGAATACCTATCTAGTTAAATAGATATTAAAAGTACCTACACTTCAAAACATAATTTTTACTTGTAAATATCTAATGTTTTCTTAATGAGTATTACACCTCAGTAGAGCGTGAGGGTATATTGCAATATAAGAATTTAGATGATGTGTCACTGATTTAAAAGACTTGGAGCATTGTGGCGACCAATTCTCAGCAAAGTTTAAAACAGTGAGATGACCAGAATTTAGGGAAAGCAAATTATAATTTTCGTTAATTACATATACGTAACTACATGTTTAAAATGGATATTAAAAGTACCTACACAATTTACAATTTTTTGTTTTGATAATTATTAATTCTGTTATTAATTTTTATTATAACTTACTAAAACGTGAGAGTATATTTTAAATAAGTAAGATGTTACTGATTTATGAGACTCGGATCATCGCGAAGACCGTCTCTATAGTTTAAAACCGGTACACTAACCTGGGTAAAGGGTAAATAAACAATAATTTTCTGTTCAAAGTTTTTATGGGGATGTTTGACCGTTGCTAGAAAACCCAAAACCCGTCATTTGCGATGCATCGTTCAAACGATTGAAAAGGATAAAAATACTCACCTTTAAGTCTACGAGGACCATGATTGACTCCGAATAGTACTGTTGTCGTATAGGAATCACAACACATAAGAACAGAATGGCTGTGAAAAATATCACTCATGGACTGGCGGAGCAGTGGTAGATTGTTTTTGTAAATGTAACCTCAAAAATTTCATGGAAAACACGAAGCTTATCACGATGCCTTACTTGTTGATAACGTTCATGTTGATTTATCAACCGCGGGTTAATTTGAAATTATGTTTATAATTTTTTTTTAGATTAAGAGCCTAACGAGGGATCTATTGGTTTTACTATGTTATAAGTTTTTGAATTTTTTTTTCTCTTTGTCGACCACTTTTCTACCAGAAAACTTACTCCGAAGTATATGGTTGTCCAAAACCATAACACAGTAAGTCGTAATTCATAAATTTTACAGTAGAGCTATTTTAGTAATTTGTTTAACACATGCCTCTTATGGGTTGTTGAAATTTCAAAGATTGATACCAGAGAGGATTTAAATATTTTGATTAAAAGTATGATTTCAAATAATCTGGACAGTTGTATATACAATAGCATCTTTTCTAAAAATTAATTTTCTCTAGCTGGTGCATTAAAAAGGTAATTTTTTGATTTTACAATGAGTTTTCGACAGTAGCGTGCCCAGGAATTATCAATGGAAGGGGATGTAGCATATAAAAATCACGAATAAGTAATAAATTCGTCTTTTCCACCCAAATTGTCTGGGAATTGGTAATTTAAAAGCCGAATCTAAAAAAAGGCCAATTTCTAATTAATATGTCAAATTTTTCATCAAAACTTGACTGAAATAAATACATTTCAACATTAGATTACTCATATATTTTTGTATTTTAAGACAATTGGAGGGCGGCTTTTTTTTGTTATTTATTTATAAACGCCCAGTGAGCACATAGTAATTGAGCATAGAGCACGGATTAAGATATATCTTAATTTGTGGGATAGAGTAATAATAATTTTTATTTTTTTGTTAGCTGTATTATGTCAATACTAATTATAAATATTCGTGCACTGGCATAAATTTTCAAAAATGTTTCTANTTTATAAACGCCCAGTGAGCACATAGTAATTGAGCATAGAGCACGGATTAAGATATATCTTAATTTGTGGGATAGAGTAATAATAATTTTTATTTTTATTTTTTTGTTAGCTGTATTATGTCAATACTAATTATAAATATTAGTGCACTGGCATAAATTTTCAAAAATGTTTCTAGCTGTTGAGCTACAAACATATTAATATTTATATAGTTGAATTTAACCAATAACTATAATACAATACATATAATATAAATCATCTTTTTTTAAAATTTATATTATATTCATAGATTAAAATTTTTACTACTTATTTACCTACTTTTAATACTTAGATTTTCATACTATTTCAAGAGTATGCGGTGGCAATATCACTTTTTATTTTTTAAATGAGAACTCATTAGTAAAAATAATAATTGACTATTGACAATAGAATGACCCTTACATACCCAAACTTATATTGTAGGCTAATTAAATTAATTGATTGACTATAAACTGTTATTATGACATAAATATATTTATATGTATATTAAATAATAAATTGTATGGTGCCAAATGGATTTTATTGTCATTTCTTGTTAATTGTTAAATGTTAAAGGTGGTGTTTTCCAAATTATTGTTTTTAATGAGTATGTAAACAATAGACATCAGTTGCATTGACACAAGTTGTCAGCAGTTGCCTGCTTTCCTATAAATATTATCCTGAAATGATGTTGAAATCCCTCGATGATTAAAATATATCTTATAATCTAATTCATTATAATAATATTACAACAATTTCTTAAATTGGTTGCAATGGTTACAAAAAAGGAACAAAAAGTGGAATGAGTTCTATTTATATAGGAACTGGATCTAGAACAAGCTCCTTTTTAAAATAAGGAACAAGGATCTGGAATAAGCTCTTTTTCGTTTAAAAAGGGACTTTCCCATCACTGATCAAAAGTATCACTATCATCGATTGGGTTGAATTTGAAAACCTACAATATAAAAATGAAAATTTAATAGGTATGTTTATAAATATTTAGTCAAATCAAAATCAACCTGAGATTAATGAACAAGATAACATTTAAAAAAAACATTATTAAATACATAAATAATTATTGATATACTATAATGATCATTTGATTAAATACAAAACAAAAAATGAATAATACATACATACTAATCCTAACAAATATGTACCTTATATTATAAGGTTAAATTAAGTTTTACGTAAACCCTTTAATTATAAATTTGTTAATTGTTTTTTTAATTCTTCTTTAACATGTTTTGGTACTTTTACTCGTTTTCTTTTACGTTTTGTTTTCTTTTCAACTTTTGGTATATTATCTTCAATGTTTTTCTTTTTTCTTGGTTTACACGAAAGTGGATTTGGTCCTTTAGCCCTTTGAAATATCCCAGGGTAATCTTTATGTTCATCACTGCTGATTAACTCTGTTGTTATTGAACTTTTCATATTTGTCAACACATTAGTTTCATGTTCGGTCAAATTAAATCTAGTTATAATTAAAATCCACAGATTAATAAAAATTAAATCAATTAATTGTATGAAGTTATACTTACTTAGATTGCCTTTTTTCATTAGCGTGCTCAATAGTAATTGGTGAAGGTGCTTTTAAAAGAACATTTAAATTATTAAAATACATTATTGGAACGGCAGGGACATTGTACAAAGCATTTTGAAGTGACTTGTCTTGAGTGGCAACAATGTATCTGTGAAATTGGCATTTAATTTTTAAAACATAATTTACCATAACACAAGTATAATAGTATAATTTATAGCCGTCAACATATTTTTTTTATTTTTATTTTTAGGATAATGATATTTAAGTTATAAATTTTAGTCAAATTTTCTTCAAATGTTTTCAATTCACAGGGAAAGACACAAAAATATATGGAATTATTATTAATAATATTTTTTAGATAACAGATATTTTCTAAATTATTTAAAATTATAAAAATAATGTGCAACAAAAAAATTACTGATATTTTGTGTATGAGTATTTGATCAATTAAAAACATATATAATTAATTGATAGGTATTTTCAGAACTGTAACAGAAATTAAATTTTAAAATGTTGTGTAAAAATGTGTATGTAATAGATGTCAAGAAAGATTTTTTAAAAAAAATAAAATTAATGCAGACCTACTGTAGTAGTAAATAATTACCTTGTACTCATATTATCTTTAGTCATCGACATTAAGCAATTTGCACCAGATATTGATTTTTTTTCATGTCCACACTTATGTATACCGAAATTCTTTACTATGTGCATAGCTTGTCGAACAGCAGCCCCTATAAGTAAAAACATAATTTACATTTGGTTTTATAATTATTAGTCTTAAACATGCATGTACAAATATCTCACCTAAAGCTTCAGTTTCAAGTACGACACACTGTGTGGTTAACAACTTCACATCGCCGCCTAAATATTTTGGTATATCTTCACGTAATTGAACTCTGTTCTGAAAGTATTAAAAAAAAAACATAATAATAAATATTGAAAATATTATTACAATTATTAACACTATTGATATAAATATATATATATATTTAATACTTGTGCAGAAGCCATGCAAAATGTACCGTCGACCAGTATTTGAAATGGTTTTCTAAAACCAAAATTGACGCAATAAAAATTAATATTACGTTCTGCCTTTTGGTGACGTTTGAGACGCATTTTAAATTTTGAATAATACCTAGTTCTTAAAAGATTTAATTTCACGTCAACAATAAAAGTTTTTTTAGGAATATTCACATGCGCGGTGTTATCAATTTTAGATAAGATATCTTTTGTACACAATCTTAGAAGATAACAGCTTCCTACCCTCTTGCCTAAAATACTACTGCTTAATGAGGAAAAAACGTTTCCCGTGTTGCCGCAAAAGCGCTACCGAGTAGATTTATTATGAAGTTAGGAACATCCCGCCAAAAAAATTATTCAAATTATTAAGATTAGATTTTTATATTATAATATTGTTGTTTTATTTATGTTAATAATCGATAATTCTAACACAATTTGATTCAACACATTGCAAACTGCGTAATTTTGTCTACTATCTAGTATACTTGTCTAATAGCAATTATAAACCGATTTTATACATAAGTATTTGATTTTTAATAAAATTAAAATTTAATGTCTTATTTTAACTAAAGTAGTAATTTGTTACTTTTATTGTGACAACTCGAAGAAACTCACATTTTTAATATTCCCAAAGATAAACATTTAAAGGAGAGATGGCAACAATCTTTAAAGATAGATCATTTTAGTGCTAATGAGGTTATTTGTGAAAAACATTTCGCGGGATGACCTAATAATAAGATCAAAGGATATTGTTGATAGATTAGGAAATGTTATTTGCTCAGTAAATATATTTGACATACATGTGTATAGGGTCTATATGGAAAAAGGTAATAAACCAAAGAAGTCAAATTTAATTAAAAACTTAAAAGTAAAAATTAAATAAAATAATTAAAGAAAGATTGGGAATTTGATGAAGTTGTTGAACACAATTATACAAAGACTGAAGTAATAGATTATCTAATATATTATTTAACTGGTATGGAACAAAATATTATGACACAAATTACCATTAATTATTATATATAATATGTTATTAAATATTAAAAATCAGTTGATTACTTTTATAGGTTATCTATTTAAAATAATGTTTAAATACATTGACGATTGCAATATTTTCGTAAATCAGCTTTTGTAACACCACAAGTTTATTCTGAACAAATGTGTTCTTCATTGGTTAACATGAAAACGATCGAACGATTGATACACCCAAACATTCTCTTTTTTGATTTCATAAAAAAAAATTGAATAAAGTTTCATGAAACATTCTTCATCCATACATGCATTTAAACTCACCATCACAGTTTTGATGTCTGAAAATACAATCAATTTCCCATATCCAAGTTATGATGGAGATATTATTTCATTTACTATGATGTATTATATTAGAATGATAATGGGGCAGTTCTCAGAAGGAGATAAGAAAAAAAAAACATAACAGAAATTAAAAAAATTCCCAAATTCTCAAAATCTTAAAATACCTGTATATAAAAAATACACCTTATTAAAATACAAAAATATACGTAAATAATTGTTAAAGCACATTCTTTGGATGAATCTTTTTATAATCAACTTGAAAAAATATCAAAAACTATTTAATTGAAATAATTGGAAATAAGGGAATTGTGAATATCATATAGGTAGAGAGATCCTATAGGTATTTTTAAAGAAAAGTCAATTTTAGGTATTTTAGCAAACATTAACTTATTTACAAATGACGATTGACATCATATCTAAGCATACAATAATATACGGAGTCGGATATCTAGTATAACATATTAATATTATATATATTTGTGGTTCATGGTTATTACCTATTTTAAAGTAGTATAATATAATAACCTAGAAATAAGTCTGTAGAGCAGTGCTCAATTTTACAGTGGTAAAATTTGGAAATGAATTTGCCTCACTAAGCGGAATGCTGATAAGGTATAGTTGTTCGACCGTATCTTCCAAGATCGTGCTTTCGTAGTTTCGTTTCATGTTTATTTAGTTGCATACTTATGTTCCGGATTTATTATGTACGTTATAAGGCAGCGATTCCTTAACTTTTTTGGTTCTAAAAAATTCGCCATTCTAAAAATAAAAATAAATAAATTTGCCTCCCATGAATAAATTAATAATATTTTTGTATTATTTAAATATTTGTGTTCTTATGAAAAAAAAATGACAATATTTAATCTTAATGCGTACAACGTGCTTGTTTTTTGTTTAATAATTCTTCAATATTAGGTAGCAATGTTGTGATAACTGCGCGTATTTTTTTCTCAATATTAAGTTTTGATCAATATTTTGATTTTAATACAGCAACTGCAGAAAATTCTGCTTCACACAAATACGATGTCTCAAATGATAATAATAATGGTAGCAAAGATTTGTTGGCTAATTCAGGATATTCATCTTTAATATTGTTCCGAAATTCTAAAAGTGAGTATGGAAATTTTTATTCGTAACGAAGGATCAGAGGTGCGTTCAGAAAAGTTATCCACGATTTCTAGAGAAATTACCCATTTAAATGAACCAACAAATTAGCAACCAAGTTACCTAAGATATGTTTATAGTTTTATCAGAAATAGATTAGGTTTTGGCGGCCACAAGGTAATAGATAAGGATTATTATTATATTACATTTTGGCTAATAATAACGAAATTGAAGCCATTGCTACAAGTTACTCAAATCAATTTCTTTTTGATTGTGAACTGACTGAACTGTTCAATATTGATGATGATGAGATTATATTAGAGAAAGAATCTCCAATTCAAATTGAAAATTACATAGAAAATATTGTCATACATTATTCTAATAATGTTTTTCAAAGCTTAGGTAATTTAAGATAAACTTAAGGAAACCTTTTTAAAAAAAATCAGAAAGTAAGTTTCTTTAAGTAACATTCATAAAGTTATTAATAAACTCAAATAAATTTTTAGCCTTAATGCTTCCAAAAATATATTTGCAAATAATAACTTTTCTATAACATATTTTGTCCATAAAATATTAAATCTGCGTCTTTATTATTATCGGTAGCTTCAATAAGCCAAATTGCAAAATGTTTTTTAATTTATTGACAAACTGTTCATTTATATAGTCAGAAATATCATGATTTTTTCGATTTATTGTATTATTATTATTAGACAAGGGAAAATGTTTAAGTTGATTTACAGCAGCTTTTCACATTACAATAAAATTATATCAATTGTTGATGGTAAATTAAGTTCTTCACCGATTGTACGAGGTTTTTTTACATTGAGCAACACGAAATGCTACTTTGTAAGAAGCTAAAAAAGCTTTGGTTGGAACAATTGTCTGTTTGATAAAACTGGTTGACTGTTTAGAAAAGTAGAAAAGTTGTCCATAGAAACAAAAAAAAAAATTAAAATAAATTTCATTATAAAATCAATACATTCCTAGCTCCGATTAGAATCTCATACAGGTTAATAGGTAATAATGCAATCTTCAATATCTAATGAATGAACCTCACGTACCTCTAATTCAAGACGACCACTACTACTACTACTACTGTTATAGATACAAAAAGGTCTGATAACGAAAATGTGATAAGAATTACGAACGGTTCAAAACAAATCATTATTACGATTCACCCACTGAACTATATATATAATACAGAGTATATAGGCCCCTAACATAACCTAACTTATTGGACCCCGAGGGTAAAACTTCATATAGGCTCTTTTGACAAATCATGCTATATACTCGTAAAGCCGTTTGTTAGGCTCGCAGGAAAATAAATTTGTCTAACTAGGTATTTTACAAATTGTGTTATACAATTATTAATATATGTAATGTATAGAGCTAGGGACTTTATGCTCTAAACAACCTAAAAATATGCATGCATTTATGCCCTTAAAAATTATCATATATGCTCTAAAAATATGCAAAATTGCTAAAATATTCTCTTAAAAATATTTTATTTTTCATTAAAAAACCAAAAGTTACAAATTTATTTATTACTATTTATTATTTCAATTGTTTTTTCTTTGAATTTGCCTTTAAACAAAACAAAAAGAAACAAAAATTTCAATTATACATGCATATTGTGTTTATGGTTTGATAATTTTTAAAATCCTACCCAAATAAATTACACTGTGTGACGAATATTTTTCGTATATTTTCAAATGTGAATGAGCGACGATTGTTCGCTAATGAATTATTGTGCCTCGAAAACGAACGCTTGACATCAACAGATATTATTGGAGGGAATTTAAATTACTTTAAGCCATTGACTTCCGAGTCTTCAAGATTTCGCATCAAATTGTCTATTCCTTCTAATCAGTAATGTACTGCTAAAATAAACCGTGGGTATACCTTATACACCTTATTCATGTATATAGAGAAATAATATGGAGATCTAAAGGTAGAGTCCAAAACAATTTTTCTTGATTCGCTCAAACAGTGATACTTTTCGATTCTGAGTAAAACGAAGAAGTTTATGGTTTTACAAAGATATTTATTTATTTTTTTTTTTTATCTATGCAAAATTTTTCAACCAGAAATCAACCTCCGATTTACAATGATAGCATTTTTTCTGAATGTAAATCTGACTGGGTAGGTACTTTAGGTAGGTCATTTTTCGATTTTCCTAAGAGTTTTCCTCAGAAATGTGATAAACCGTGAAAAAACATGGGAAAACCGGGAAAAACGCAAGAAAATCGACAAAATATTTTAACAAATATTATTAAAGAAAATATATAATGCCTATTTGATTATTTTACCATAATATGGCGTATATATTGTAGACAAAGCATTACTATCAACTTAACTACGCTCAGAATCGTTTTTTCATTAGCAATGGTTTATCGTTGCTTATAGATATACATTAAATTACCTACAACAGTGACTGCGCCTGTCTCCACTATACTTGGACGTTTTTTTATTATTTATTGCATTATTATTATTATCTTTTTTAGCGTCCAAACGGTGGCGCCCAGAGAGCCACGTCCATTTGTCCTAGACTCCAGTTTCTATATCCCAGGCATTCCTGATCAATTTCTTATGTTTTCTGCCTCAAATGGTTGGCAATTTATTCGGCTTTTATCTATATCAAGAGAAAGGCATCCACCGTTAACACCACTTTTACCTCCTATACTTCCTGGAATTCCTGTTTAAGGCGGCTCAGCAAGGTTTTCATTGAGCAACATATTCTTCAGCTCGTCACATTGGTTATAGAGATCAAGCTATCCTAGCCAGTCGTCGGTTATATCTTCATCATATCCAAAACTGTAGATTCCAGTTGCGCATTCCATGTTTGGGGTCTTGGCTGATAAGAGCACCCGGGACGTGATCCTACCACTCCTGACGCCCGGCTCTGAGGTTACCGATCCTCGCTCCCCCTCTATTACAGTAAACATTTGTATTATCGAGAACTTTCTGAAACTTTTGAGAACTTTTTTTTGCTAACAATATAACCTGCATAGGAAAATTTCTTCTAATATTAATTATATAATTGATTGTTATAATTTATTATTATTTAACTTAATTTTTATACTACTATCAATTTAACTACGGTATGGTCTATAAGGTATGACGTACCACTTCACATCTTTAGGGGCGCTTTAGCATCTCCTTGACTATACAAGTAACCGGTCATTGCTGAGACAGGAAAAAAAACACATATAGGGAGATGATACTTCTATAAAATGATCACTAGCTTATTGATAGTATTGTAACGTTCTCAGTTGTTTATCTGTAAAATGGACGTAGGTACACTGCACCTATATTATTACGAATGTTTTTATTTAAAGAACAAAAAAAAAACCAAAAACAAAAAACATACAAGATAAAACCTTCGACTAAATGCCCCCTTTGCCTTTAAATTCTATTCCCTCCATTCACTCCCCTCCCTCTCCCGGAGGTCTGTCGTTACTAAATCCGCAGCACTCGGTCGGCCAGACGACGTTTTCGAATTGAAAACGACGGTGGCGTCGGCATCGGGTATCATCGTTGTCAAAGTCGTACGCCATGAAAACGCATTATCCGTGACCCACTCTGTCAGTGGCATGCCGGCGATAATAGCGCGGGCGACATACAATAATATTGTTTTTTTATACGCGCTATCACGCTGGTCACCCATGTCCATGTGCGCAGGGACACGCGTCGTCGCGTCCTCGGTCTTGCACCGGGTCGGCAGCCGCGCGTCCGCATACGTCTGCAGCGCTGACTCGCGTATGTGTACGTATACAGGGTGATTATATATTTTCGATTCTGAGCGGAACGGCGAATGTATTGGTTTTACTGTGATATTGTTAATTTTTTTTTCTTTGCTTGTTTGCGAGCCACTTTTAAACCAAAAATCTTGCTCCAGTCGGAAAAACGACCCAGAAACATTTGTTATTACGTTTTGGATCTAGTTGGAGAGTAAACAAGTCATTTTTCGATTTTTCAAGCAGTTTTAATAATAGTCGGGAAAAACGGGAAAATTCCGTAAAACGAAAACTGACAAATTTACGACGTATGATTTCATTATTAAAAATGTTTAGGAATTTTAGGTACTATACATACTAGAAATCTTGCTCCAATCGAAAAATCGCTCAGATTCGTAATCCATTAACAAAGGTTTAATGTTACTTTCAAACACGCATTAAATAACTAGGCTCATTTCGAACTTTAAAATGATCGATAGTTTCCGAACATTGATTTTTTTTTTTTTTTTTTTTTTATAGTAGCTAACACAACCTAACCTACGAAATTATTGTCTCTTTTTTTTTTTCTCATGAGGTATATATTTGGTCACCCTATAACCTAAAGACAATCGGGCTGACCGTGTAATTTCCGTGGTTTTTAAATTCGG